GTCAGTAGGTTGACTTGGCAAGTAGGGTTAACCCGGGAGGTTGACCTTGACCAGGACTTTGAATTTGACCAGAGTTGACTTGGTTGTCTCTCGGGGGTCAGTTAGACTCAGTGTTGCATTGATATTGGTAGTTTGGGGAGCAAGGGGAGCAGGAGTTCAGTGAGTTGCCGGGCAGCAGCTAGTGAAATCATCAGCAAGTTCAGCCAGTGCATGTGAGTTTCGCTTTGTGTGAATGGGTCTAAGGCCACAATGTCGGCCCATGTAGTTATGAGTAGAAGGCCCAGGGGTTAGCCCTAGGCACAGTATGCTAGTATGATATTTTGGACGAGGTCCATTAATAACGGGCGGGTGCCCAAGGATTTGTTTATATGATAGTTTATACTTGTTGTCTGTGTGATACATGTATGTGCCTGGTAGGGAGGTGAGTGTGGGTGAGGTCCCATATCTCACCAATAGCAGAGTGTGGATGGGGTTCCACATCTCATTAGTAGCAAACAGGGGCGAAGCCCACGTTAGGGAAGGAGTGAGAGTGGGCTAGGCCCGTATCTCACTATCAGTAGGAGCGTGGATGGGGTTCCATGACTCATCAGTAGCAGGACAAGGGCGAGGCCCAGGATAGGCGAGGCCTTAGGACATGATCAGTCGTATGAGTTTAGCCTATGTGTTGTGATATGTTTATGTGTTATTATTTGTTGGCGGGCGAGGCCCTGTGACAGGCGAGGCCTAAGTGAAACGGATCTGTCTCCGAGCGGGGCTCGAAGCCAGGCGGGATCTGGAGCGGTGGGGCCGTATAGCGGGAGAGGCCCCAGGCAGGGGGCAAGGCCCAGGATAGCGGGTGTGGCCCAGTATGTGCAGTATGTGGTTATGCATGGTATGTGGTAGGGTGGGGAACTCACTAAGCTTCGTGCTTACGGGTTTCAGTTTTGGTTTTAGGTACTTCCGGTAGCGGAGTGAAGAGCTCGGGGTGATCACATGGCACACACCATAGATTAGACAGCCTGAGAATGTTTACTCTGATAATGAACATGTGTTTTGAAAATTAATACTCTGATTATGTTTTGGAATGATGACCTTGCTTAAAGTAATGTTTTATTAAAAGAAATTTTTGGTCTTGGATTTTGGATCATGATAAATATATTATTATACAATTAGTTATACATTAGATGGATGAAAGATAAATTATATAATATATATAGTATATTACCGTTTGGTGTGGCGCAAGTCTCAATGAATCTTTTATTATCCGAACAATCTTTTCTTTGCTGTCGCTTGTCTTTATAAATGTTTGGGTTGCCATTTTGATTGTTAACAACAACAATATTAAACTTGCTTGATGATAATATTTGACTTTTGCTACTATCATTAGTACGTACTGAGAAAAATATATAAGAAAAAAGTTATAGTATACCTCAATATATTTATAACTTAACGTATATATGAAAAAAAATATGCATACTTATATCATCGAAAATGAAATATTACAGATTTATTTAAATAAAATATTAAAAAATAAAAATAAAAACAATATTGATCATGACGACCATCGCTTGTGAAATACTAAGAATGTTATATAAAAATATGCATTGTTTATGTCACAAAAGGTTTACACAAAAGAAAACTAATCAACAAAATTAAAAGTAATATGTAGAAACACTAACATGGTAGCAAACTAATTTAAAATGCATGATAGAAAAATATATACTATTTGGCATGGTGGTAGTATCTTTACATTTTCTGGTATCCAAATATGACTTTCTAGGATTTCTTTTATCTTTAGCATCATTAGATAACGAACTTGTAATGTTAAAAGCCAAAGTAGATTGAAAACTTATATGCTGATATCCACCTGAAATATTATATTTATACTTTTATTGTTACGTGCAAGATATGTAGAATAATTTAAAGTAGTTAAATGTTGATACGGATAAATAATCAGTGAAAAGGATATATAACGGATTTATTTGAAAAATTAATAAGAAAATCAAATCAATGTTGATCATGACGACCATTATGTATGAAATAGTAAGAGTATTATATAACAAATGCATTGTTTATGTCGCAAAAGGTTTACAAAAGAAACTAATCATCAAAATTAACAGGAATATATGAAAACACTAATATGGTAGCATTAAAAGGCATGATAACAAACTATATATACCGTAGTTTCATTAGATCTTATGTTATCCAAATATGATTTTCTATGTTTTCTTTTGTCTTTAGCATCATCTGATAATAAACTTGTAGTATTAAACTTTGTAGTAGATTAACAACTTGTATGCTGATATCCACCTAAAATATTTGAATTTATATTTTCATTGTTATCTCCAAGATATGTACAATAATTTGAAGTAGTTACATGTTGATAAGGAAAAACAACATTTAATCTATAATACTCTGCCAGATTAATAATATAATGTATTGGTTATGTGACATACAAAATTTAATGATATAAAACAATATTTTTATATAATAAGTTAAATAAAAAAGTAATTATAATAGAACAAAATTGAGATGTCGAAAAACAATTACCAATTGAAGTGGTGGACATGACATTGGATTTTTTTTTATCCAAATATAACTTTTTTTGTTTGCGTTGGTCTTTAAAATCATTTAAATCTATATGATGTCTATATCATAAAAAAAAAATAGATCATGTAATAAAACTATAATAAACTAATGTTATAAAATTTGTTAGTATATATTATGAATTAGTAAAATTGACACATTGTGCTCGTATGAAAAAATTGTTAATATAACACAATTTAAAGCTTATATTTAATACGGATAAATTGATTGGACTTACTATAATAAATTATTAAAATTTAGTATAAATTATTGGATTAAAAACCACTCGAGCTCTACTCAATACCAAAAGAAGTTAGAAAAAAAAAAAAAAAAAAAAAAAAAAAAAAAAAAAAAAAAAAAAAAGAACTTACAATGGTTATTATAGAATAACAAAATTTTACTTGTTGAACCAAAAATAAAACAAATTTTTTGTGGTTAATTGAAAAAAAAAAAAATAACCATTTCGTTAGTTAGACTATCCAAAAAATTCAAACTATAGTGGTTCTAACAAAAAGTTTCTTTATTTCACTTAGTTTGATTTTTTTTTTCTTCTTAGCAACCAATTCAAAGATTACTTTAAACTTTTTTTTGAATCATTCATGAAATCAAGTTTAAATTTATAAATAAACAATATAACGGATGCTTGATTGTTGGAGGATCATAACTGAATTGAACATTGAAGACGTTCCCTATATATGTTTTAAAAAATTGGTTGAATGGCTTAATTTATTTAATTTAGATCATATACATTTGTATTAAGTGGCATTGTCTTATACTGACAAGTGAAAATGATTTAACTGTAAATTACCAGAAATTGACATTTATCAAAATAAAAGAAATAATGAACAAATAATAAGAACTTTTCATTTTGAAAAGAATGTGATTACCAAACCATGGCAGCCTATGAGCTACAAAATAAAAGAATTTGTTCATACCTATAAATGCGTCCATGAAGAAAGTCTCGCCAACATTCTTACACATCAATGAAAAGTTGAAATAAAACACCATTAAATAGAACAAATTGGACAAACTAAATGTCCTAACAATACCAACATGGATCATCTATAACTTTAAGATCAACCCCAACGAAAGAGAGACACGAAAACATAAAATGAGCGATGAGCTCACGAGCAATGGCATAGTCAGGCTCTATGATTGGAGCAATCTAAATAGAAGTGTTGTTCGGAGCGTTGTTTTGCAACGTCCTAGATTTCAATTCAAAATTTCATTTAAAATAGGTTAAACGTTCAAAATCCTTTTTTGGGAAAATAAGGTAACATTTAGTTGTATAAAACCATAAGGTTAAACAAAGTTGAATTACAAAAGGAAATTGTGACATTACCAACTTTATGCCAGAAAAAAACAATCTGTTTATGCTTTATTTAAAAATCAGATTATATTTTTGAAGAATAATATTGCGGAATTTTTTCCCAAAATATGATAAAAATATTATCAAAACATTTCCAAAAAATTGTATTTTAATTATATTAAAAATGTTGGGATGTCATCGTCAATACATTATATAAGAAGAAATGGAAAATAACATAGGGCTTACAACATCCATTATACTATTGGCCTATAATCCATAATTCTCTCATCTGTTCATCACACCGGTGCTCTTGTGCCACTACCTATAATACAAAAAACACTACTAGAAAACAGCCCTTTAATGACACGCAAATAATGACGCTCGCAGATAGAGGACGCGCATTGATGTGTGCCCTAAAAAATAATGTCACTTTTGCAACATTTAAAGGATAGTGGACACGCATTTGCGCATGCCCTAAAAATAGTGTCATAAAAAATGCGGAGGGCACCTTTCATAAAATGTGCCACCTCTAAATGTGTCGTTTTATATTTTTTTTTACCTAAACGCGCATTTTTAAAGGGGGAAAACGAAATCGTCTGAAATTCCAAAATTTTGAAGAACCCTGCTTTTACCCTCTCTCCTCAGTATCTCCCTTTTCATTCACTCTTTCCTTCTCTCTGTAAACCCTAAGCCATCGCCACTGCCACCGCTGTTGAACCTTAAAAACTCAATACACATTAGAATCCTACAATAGAACCCTAATAATACTTTTGAATCAGCACATCCTTTTGAATCGGATCGTGTTCCTTTACCTCTGCACACACACACACACACACACACTCTCTCTCTCTATGCAATCTCTAAGTTGCCACCACCAACATCGAACCCGATAAGCTTTAAGAGTTTGGAGTGCATCTAGAAACCTAAGCACACACTTCTGCCATCTTAAGATACCAGTTCAAGATTAGAACGACATGTCGTAATCCACGATGCCATCATCGTCTCCACAAACTGTCATTAATGGCTGAGAAACGAATGTGACTGGGTCTAGAAGAAAATCAAACCCGAAGCTCGCCATCAACCTAAGCACACACTTCCTCCTTCTCCTCCAACCCATCTCTCCTCTATGCCACCGTCGCTGACCTACGCGCCGCCCGTCAATGAGACCCTTCTGATCCCACTCCTTCTTAGTTCACTCCCTAAAGGTACATTCTTCATGCGTCTTCTCTCACAAAAAAATGTTTCTTCTTTCTGTCTTCAGTTTGATGTCCCTGCAACTTCAAGGCTTCAACCAGGTTTCATTATCTTCTCCTTATATAACGATTTCTTGTTTTTGTTTCTTCGACATTCTATCGTAGCTCCAGAGCAACTTGTTTGGTGTGGAATGGATGGTGTATTGTTGTATTGGGATGATATGCTTCTTATGGTGGGCCCTTAAGGAGATCTGGTTCGCTATCTTTATGATGAACCCATTATCCTTATCCCAAAGTGTGATGAATCTAGGATATTGTCTAACTTAAACATGGAGTTTCTTCAACGGGTCCCAGCTTCTACTGAATCTATCTTCAAGATTGGGAGCACAGAACCAACAACTTTATTGTATGATGCTTTGGATCATTTTGATAGGAGGAATGCAAATGTAGGGTGTCACTTTGATCTTTGAATTAGACTTTACATTTCTTTCTTTCCTTATAACTTCCAATATCAATTTATTCCATTCCAGGCTGATGAAAATTTGAGGCTGATAAAAACATCGTTGCTTGAGGCTGTTAAAGTCTTTAGATGTTGCAAGACACGAGTTTGATCATTTTGACAGGAGGAATGTAAAGGTAGGGTGTCACGTGCTCCTCACACTCACAACCCACCTTCAAAAAAATCAAGACCTAAAGATGTAAGTCATTTCCATTCTCTTTTCATGATCAAATGACCTTTTTACCCCTGTTTATGCACACACAGTTGATAGATAACCAATATGCTGAATTATTAAACCACTTATAACTTTTTAATCCTTTTATATAAAACTAACATTATATATTTATATATTTCTTTTCATTTCACCTTTATTAGCATTCAGCTTATGAGGAGCCTGTTACAGAAATATTAGATGACTGGTAAAATTTTCCGTTTATTTTTTTTTATATATTTTATAATGTGAGACATGTGATGTAATCAGTTATCTGATTCCTGCATTTAAGGTATGCTTGAAAATGTTGAAGTTGAATAGGATCATGAGCGTATGTGTGTTTATGATCTCTTGATATTCAAAAACAAAGGAGATAAAGGTAAAAAGATTAAACTCTTTTCCTTTTTTGCCCTTGGTTTTATAAATAATAACATATGTACTAAACAATCTTATAGGGACTGACTGCAATGATGCCAACATTTGGTGCTGTCAGTTCTTGAAAAATGTAAGAATCTTTCAGCATTTCAGTTTTCCATATCTCAAAGGATTAAATCATTAAATACACATAACTACATAAGGTTTGGTTAAATATATTAATAGTTTGGTTGGCTCTTAGATAATAGATACCTACATGTTTGATACATGAGTAAAACTAGTTTCTAAACATGATAAGATAGCTGATTGTAAATTTGTCGTGCCAGATAAGATAATTTTCTGGAAAGTAGTAGATACTCCAAATCCTATGGGATCTGGACAAACTGACAAAATGTTTACCTAACATATACATATCTTAATCACTCCTACTATTGTGTTGCGATTTGAGTTTATTTACATCTTGAAAGGTCAAAAAAAATTATCACTCATAGTAAATGAATAACATGTCTAATCTAGTTATCGTTAATCCTTTTTGGATCTGAAAGTGATACGCTGAAATACTGAGATTACTACTACTGGATGTAGCTTTAGTAATTGAACTCATTGTAATTTATTGTCCTATATATACAACAATCTGCCCTTGTGCTTAATGCTTCACGTCGCTTCTGATACACATTGAACTTGAGAAAGAATGAAGAGCAGGAAAAAAGGAAAAGGATGATCAGGTCACATGCTCAACTCATAAGGGTAATTTTGTCCATAAATTTGTGTATATAGCTTCCCAATCCCAAGTTTGGTTATATATTAGTTAACATCTAATCACCTTCTGTTAGGCTGCATTGATATTCAAATTGGCTGGAGAACATGTAGTTGGTATTTGGTCCCCCAAGTTCCCTTATGATATAAATATAATCTTTTCTTATGTTGAGCTAGCTACATTCTACATATAATTAATTTCCTTCTATTTCCCCTTCATATATATAGTGCTTGGGCCCACTGCGATTCTTGCATCTCCAAGTTGTGGTTATGGTATTTCACTCGAGCAACTTGTTTCCCTGACCAGGGACCATAATCTAACTTCTCTTCATCAATATGGAGGGGCAATTTACTTAGCTTATCAAACATATTTTTCCTTAACTATCAAAACTCAAAACCTCTTTATATATACATCTATACCTATATATATTTTCAGGTGCAAGGGTTATCTGAGATGTTGAAAACCAATCTGGACAGAGGAGTACAAAGACATGAAGATGAATTAAGAAATAGGAGAAATGCCTTTGGATCTAACACTTATCCTGTGAAAAAAGGAAGAAGCTTCTTTGTATGTTATATCTCCACAACAACTATTTCTTCTTCGCTTTTATTTACAACTGCAGCTGACCATGGGTATTTTAATTATGTTGACCACAGATGTTCCTTTGGGAAGCTTGGCAAGATTTGACACTTATTATATTGATCGTAGCTGCTGCAGCATCATTGGTGCTAGGAATAAAGACAAAGGCAAGTTTTAAATCATACTTTCTCATATATTTAGTCATGCAGAAGTTTGTGATCATATTATGACTCCTATTTGTTTCAGTTTTCTTAAAAGGCTTGAGGTTTCCTTGTGTAGGGTATTAAGGATGGTATGATGGAGGAAGCATCACCTTTGCTGTTCTTTTGGTTATCTTTGTGATAGGTGAGGCAGCTGTTTTTATTTTTCCAGTGGTTATGATATTTAAAATGTACTTTCTCATATATTATCGTGTGCTGTGAACTATAATAGCAACAAGTGATTATAGACGGTCCCTACAATTTCAGAATCTAAATGAGGAAAAAAGATATATACAGATAAATGTTTGTGTGTTATTTTGATGAGTAAGATATTATTTTTATTATTATTCTACCTTTAGTTGTGTCTTCTTAACATATTCAAATTGAAGAAATTATTGATCCAAAGTAAGTCCATGGACTGATTGGTATGCTTATAATGTGTTTTTGGATTGTCCTGTGGGTAGCATCTCAGCTTCTGATTAATTTGGTGTATTATTTTGGTGGGTTGATCATGCTACATGACCAATAATGATATCTAGGGTCTGTTAGAAGGATTGGAGATTGCAGTTAACCTATATGGCCAATAATGAACTAGTTCAACTATTATTTGTTGATGACTTTCATCACTTTAACATTTGATGTATTACATTTGTCTACTATTGGAATGATTATTTGTATGACATTAACTTTTGTGCAATGGATTGTATTTTTTGTATATGGTATTTTATTTTCTATTATGAGACATGAAATGTAAATTTAATTTGAAAATTAGTAAATCTATAAATCATTTTTTTTAAAAAAAATTAAAGTTACGATACGCAAAAACGTGTGTCATCTTCATTTATGACATGTCCTTTCTTAACAGCGGCATTAATGATATGCATTGCGTGTCATAAATGCGCGTCGTAAATGTGTGTCGTCTCTCGTTATGATAGGGCTTTCCCTGACGCGCATTTGCGTGTCATCTGAGCGTTTTACGACGCGCGTCGTAAATGTGTGTCGTCTCTCATTATGACAGGGCTCTCCCTTGAAGTCCAGAAACCTTAGATACATGATTGTGGAGGATTTGAGTGCATTTGGAGCTTGGGGAAGTGTTTGTTGAAGAGATCTTGGAGAGTTAGGAGGCTTGGAGCAAGGGGCTTTGCTTAGATTCGGATTCCTTGCGGTTGGGGGCTTCATTTTGAGGTAATATCTCGTTCTTGGGCTGTGTTCTTCTAGATTCATCATTTTGGGGTTGTGTGGGAAGCTTAGATTGTGGTATCTTGAGTTTGAAGGATACATCTGAGGTTGCTACCTCAGATCTGGAGTGGAGAAGGTCTTAAGTGCATTAAAGTCCCTGTTCTTGAGTAATTGATGGAGCTATCTTGTCCCAAACCCAAACCCTAGAGTGAAAATGCCTAGATCTTCTTGGATTCACGTAAAGATTGCCACTTTACGTGATGGATAGCCTTAGGAGGAGTAGATCTATGGTTTGGATCATCTGCATGGCTTGGAAATCCTCTGTATGGATTCAGACCCAGTGGTACTCGGCGAGTCACATGGGTGGACTCGGCGAGTTGCTTGAAGAAAGACTGGAACTCGGCGAGTTGGAAGAACAACTCGACGAGTTGGATGAAGATGGCCTGGAACTCGGCGAGTTGGAAGAACAACTTGGCGAGTAGGTTGAAGATAGTCGTAGACTCGGTGAGTCTGTTCTTGGACTCGGCGAGTCTGGTCGTAGGGGCCACGTTTCTTTTGGGAAGGCTGTGACTCGGTGAGTCAAGGGATGACTCGGTGAGTTAAGTCGCGAATTGAAGGAGGTTCTGTGTATGGGCACTCGGCGAGTCATCGGGTTGACTCGACGAGTAGAGTCAGTCAGGGGTAGACTTTGACTTTGACTTTGACCAAGGGTTGACCAGTTGACTTCCAAGGGCATTTTGGTAATTGTTGGCTTTTGTGTTGGTGTTAGCCAGTGGTGGAGTTCGGGTCAGAGATTTCAGCAGCGTGATCTTACCCTTTCAATCAGCAGTTCCGAGGTGAGTTATCCTCACTATATCAACAGGGTCTAAGGCACCAAGGCCGGCCCTTTATCGGATTGAGATCTGGGTATCTGTTTGTAACACCGTAAATTTAAAAAAAAAAATTTCAAATTTTATAAAACATAATTCACTTAATATTCATAAAAAAACCATATTGAAATTCAATCCAAGTAATACAAAATCCCAAGATCTCAAAATCATAAATCCCATGCGTGTGTACTGATCAAGCCGGCGCCTTCCCACGGTCGTCACTAGTACCTGAAACAATTAACACCAAACACTGTAAGCACAAAGCTTAGTGAGTTCCCCAAAATACCACATATAACACATATTAGCCACTCGAGGCTATAACTCTGTGGGTCCGTGCACCCAAACTTTGTGAACCCTCAGGTTCTAACTCTGTAAACATGCACAGCATAAATCACAAAGAATAATGTAGCGCAACACATAACACAAATATAGCATACAAGCACTGTATCACATAACTCTAGTTACCTACTCAAGGTATGTATAGTGAGAAGACTCACCTCGCGTATCTCGGTAATTCGTAAATCCCTGAAATCACTACTGCTCGATCTCCCGAGCTATAGTCCTCCTATAACACAA